GAAATCTTTTCTACACAGGACACAGACTCTTCTCTGTTGTCTTTTGAAACCTTATAACTTTAGCATTTTCTCATTGGATTTGGGAGCCATCTCAAGTTAACATCTGTGTGTGTCGAGAGAAGGCTGGGGCTTATTTCTGTCTGTGTGATTGTCTGGTTGGTATAGCTCCGTCTATTGAGAAGGCTTCTCTGTGCCCACTGCATGGTGTGGTGGACACCGTGGTCCCCTTGGGTTCCCCCAGAATTGCTGGTGCTCTGCTGTAGCTGGGGCTGCTGGGCAGGGCCTCAACTGCTGTGCTTTGTAAGCCTTTTTGTCACTGGAGAGACAACGCCTTTCCTGAGGCCACACTGTCCTTCAGAGGAAGCTGGTGTTCAGTGCTGACCCACCAGGATCAGCAGCCATGGCACTGCTGGCTGTGGGACATCTCAGTGCCCTGAGGTCATGGAGGGAGGGCTTTGGCTGAGCTGTGGTAGCCTCTGTCTACCCAGTGCCTCCTTCCTGTGGCAGATGAGTCCAGGTCTGAGGAGCAGCTCCCTGACTATTTCTCAGCGTCTGCACTTGCCTTGCACCTCCGACAGACCTGGAGTTGGGTGCTGAGGTCTGTGCTTCACAGAGCTAGGAGTCTGTTTTTGCTTCTTTCCCACATACCCTGCACAACTGGACCTTTGGTGGAAGATGTCCCCTAGGTCCCCTGGGTCACAAGATCCTCTCCTCTACCCAGGTCTTTTAGGTCTTCTTCCCTCCCCTATGTCCCCACATCCACCAGCCCCCTTGCAATCCTCCTCTATGCTTGCCACCCTCCCCACACCCTCCAGTTGCTGAAGTCAAGCCGTGGTCCAGGCCCCAGTTGACCCTACTTCTGCAGAGCTGTCATGCATCCAGTACTGTCCATAGACTAGCTTGCTTCTCACCACTTTGGGACCCTCTGTGGGCCTCAGTTCCCTCACCTGCCAAACGGGATTGTGAGCACCAGCCTCAGGGCCATTACAAGATTCAAGGAACCAGTATTCCCAGGGCTCTTGGACTGTGCCTGGCCCACGCAGCCCCTGAGAAGCTTGTCAAAGTGGAAGACGAGAAGGAGCCTGCATCTCAAAGGGCCTAGGTACAAGGCTTCTCAGGGGCTGTTGTCCCTTGGCCACCTGTTTTCATCAACCTCTGAGGAGAGGGCACCAGTGTGTAATGTAGACACGTACCTCACGAAGCCTTCCCTCATCTGTGTGAAGCACAGACCTCTCAGACCACTGTTGGTGACCTCTGAGGCCCCCCCAAACCCAAGGCAGTGGTGACAACTTGGGGACAAAGGCCTGCCCAATGAAAACATGCACCAGCATGTGGGGTGTTTCTGTTCTACCTCTTGCTCTTCACCCAAGTGCATCCTCTGACCCGAGCCACAACATGGCCATGGGTCCTTTGCACTGGTGGTTTCCTGCCTTTCTCATGCAGTATATGACTGAGTAAAACTTTATTCACAAAGCAGGAGGCCCCGATTTTCCCCTTCAGTCATGGTTTGCTGGCCCCTGGGCTAAACCAGTGTTTCTCAGACTTGCACTTGGATCAGAATACCCTGGAGGGTGTGCCATTTTCTGGATCCCTAGCCCACCTAGAGTCTCTGAGTTGGAAAACCAGGGAAGAGCCTGGGCTTCTGTAGTTTCTACAAGTTTCAGGTATTTCTGCTGGACCAGGGCTGCATTTGAGAACCATGCTCTAGAAAAATGAGTTCAGGGCTGGGGACATGGCTCAAGTGGTAGAGTGGCTTCCTAGCAAGGCTGAGGCCCTGAGTTCAAACCCCGCTACTGAAAAAAAGACAAAAAAAAAATTAGCAAAGTGCAAAAAAGGAGGGGGAGGAGTTGGGTTGAGAAGCAAGGTAGATGGTGCTTCAGGGCCCAGTGGACTATTATGGTTTGGATATTAAATGTCCTCTGAAAGCTCATGTGTAGAAGGCTTGGTCCTGAATGCAGCAGTGTTGAGAGGTGGGGCCTTTGGCAAGTGATTAGATCGCAAAGGCTCTGACCTAACAAATGGATTAATCCATTGATGGATTCATGACTCACTTGGTTTGAGGGGGTTGTTACAAAAAAATTTCTCTCCTGTTGTGACATGCTCAGCAGCTGTGCTCTGCTGCGTGCCCCCCTGCTTTGCCTCACAACAGGTTGGAAAGCAACAGAGAACTGACCATGGACTGAAGCTGCGAGCCACAATAAATACAATCTCCTTTAAGATGACTCTCTCGGTATTTGCGTGTGCGTGTGTGTGTGTGTGTGTGTGTGTGTGTGTGGTACTGGAGTTTGAACTTAGAACCTTACGTTTACTAGGCAGGCACTCTACCACTTGAGCCATTCTGCCAGCTCTTCTTTTCACAGTGACAGAAAGCTAACACAGGGATTGATTCCGGTCCCAGGTTCTCAGCTCAGTAAAGAATATCCTGTCCAGCATGCTGCTGAAGCCAAAGACTTAGAAACTGTTATGGTTTGGATCTTAACACTCCTCCAAAGGCCCATGAGTTGACGGCTTGATCACCAGTCTGCAGTGATATGGGAGGTGGTGGAACTTTTAGGTGGTAGGGTCTAGAGGAAGGGAATTAGGTCACTGGGGCTGTGTCCTTGAAGGGGATGTTGGGAACCTGCCCCTCCTCTCCTGTCTTTCTCTCTCTCTTTCTCATTTTCTCTCTGTTTCCTGGATGCCATGAAGTGAACAGACCTTCTTTGCCTGGCACTCCTGCCATGATGTTCTGCCTTGCCACAGGCCTAAACCAATGGAGCCAGTTGTCAATGGACTAAAACCAATGAAACTATGAGCCTATAAGACAAATCCTTCCCTCCCCTGCCTTTTTTGAATTATTTTATTTTGATTTTCTGATAGAGTCTCACTAGGTATCCCAGGCTGGCCTTAAACTCACTGTCCTTCTGACTCAGTCTCCTGAATGCTGGGATTATAGGTGTGTACCTCCATGCCTGTTAATCTTTCCTCCTTACGAGTTGATTTTCTCAGGCATTTTGTTACAGTTGATGGAAAGCTGCATTAACACAGGAGCCAGCCTTGATTCTTTGCCTTGTACCCCAAGCTTCAGTACATGTTTCCAACATGCCCACCTCTCACTTTCTCCTAGGCCACTGTCATTCCCAGCCTACCTGCAGTGGCCTCCTGACATCCTCCCTAACCCCACTGACTACCCACCCCTGTGTCTTCAAACAGAAGCAGAGGTTGGGACAAACCATTCCAAGCCCTCTGGGGGCTGACAGTCAACACTCAAGATCTGGAGGATCCTCTAAAGTCCTTGCCTGGCTCCATGGTTCCTCAGCCAGTGTCCCATCCTTCAAAGTGGTCCCACTCCTCTGAGGCGGGCATTTGTGGACTTACCATGCTTGTTCCAGCCTCAGGCCTGGGCACCTGCTCTCTGCCTGGCACCTACATGCTCTGCCTTGGCTCTGCCACAATGACAGCCCTTCAGAGAGAGCTTCCCAGCCACTGCCATCTTCACTGTGTCCCTGTTGCTCAAAATGCTCTGTCCCCACTATCCATTGGCATTTTATTTATCTACTGGAGGGTAAACTCCAGGAGGGCAGAGGCTGGGTCCCCAGAGCAGAGACTTCAATGCATACCATACAAATGACCTGGTCAGAGAAAGCCCTAGCTGTAGATGGATGCAAACAAAAACAAGAGCAAAACGGCTGAGTCATCTGAGGACCCCTGGGTCCACAGGTGACACTGTTGACTTACCCCTGGGTCTTACACAGTTTTGACAGCACATACCTGCTGTGGCTCACATATGGCTGGAATAAAGGCCTCTGGAGCTGGGATCATCTGCAAAGATGGCCTGCCAGGCTCCAGACATGGTTCCTGGGTTTATGATGGCCAAGGGGAAGAGGGGTGGTAATTAAAGCATGATTTCCCAAAAGGGCAAATGGTGAGCATGTACTGGAAGAACTTACTCCACCAGTAAGGAGGGCTCAACAAAAAAGGAAACCCCAGGAAAAAAAAAAAACAAAACCAGAATAGTAATATGGAACTGTACATGCAGACAGAGGCAAAACAGGACTTTCAAGGAGTGGCTGTTACGGGGTGAGTTGTTCCTCTCCACATTCATACATTGAAGGTCCCACCTCACAATCTGGAGATGGAGACTCTAAAGAGGTGATTAAGTTAAAATGAGGCTGATAGGATGGCTTTAACTCCATGTGCTGGGGTCCGTACAAAGAGGGGAGAGGCACCAGGAATATGGGGCACAGAGTGAGGAGGCCCCATCTGCCAGCCAAGGAGGGACTCGGGGAAGGAACCCAGCCTGCAGCCTCCAGTGCATTTCTGTTTGAGCAAATGAGCACAGACCCGGGAGCTCCTGAGCGTGTCTCTGATCAGAGTGACATGCTAGAGGGGCTTTTCCTGAGGCCAGTGCCCCCTGGGCAGTCCTGTCACGGCGGAAGGGACACAGCAACTGGAGGGGCCTGCCCTCCTGCGCTCCGGTGGCAGAGACCTCATCTCTTCTCCTGGACCCGTGTTTTGGGTGGGGGTTGTCTACCCCTGGCCACCTCAAGAAGCCACCCGGGCCAGGGGTTCAGCCCCGACTCCGCGCTGGGCCTTGGAAGTCCTCAGACGCTGCGGTCCCTGAGGCACGTGGTATTTGCGCGGCCAGCTCAACCTCCAGCACAACAGTGTCACCGCCCAAAGACGGAAACCCCAGGTGGTCAGGACAGGCCCCGGCCCTGCCCCCAGCCCCCAGCAGGCCCCGCCTCCTGACGGATTCTGCCCCGCCCCCTGCCCCCTCGGTTCCTCCCCGCAGGTTACTTTCCCCAGCCCCTCTGCATCTCGCTCCTTCCCGCCTCCGGACAGGCCCGATCCGGTGCCCCGCCACCTTCACCCCGCACCATCAGGGGTAGAAACCCTTATCCCAGCAGGCCCTGCGCTGCCCTGGCGCCCGGGCCAGTCGGTTCCCTGAAGTCCCCCGCGGTCACCCGGCTCCTCGTCTCCACCGTACCCCTAGCGTCTTGGAGCACGCGGTTCCGGGCATGGCGCGCGCAGCCGGGTCCGAGCGGCGGCTGCTGGCCGTCTACACCGGCGGCACGATCGGCATGCGGAGCGAGGACGGCGGTGAGTCGGTGACCCCGCGTCCTGTGCGGGGTGGCTTCAGGGCTTGGCTGTGACTGGGAACCTCGGGCTCCTCACCTGCGACAGGGGATCCTTCCTGCTCCAGAAGGGGAGTCAATGAATTGAACAGTCTAGGAGCACCTCAGCTGTGCTGCGCAGGGTGGGGTGAGGGTCGTTCTCCAGTCACTGCCTTTCCGAGACCCCGGCCCCATGGGGCCTTTCCGAGGCCCAAGTGCTTTGCAACTGGGAAGGGAAAGGAGGGGAGCTGGCAGGACCTCACCTTGAGGGCTGCTGTAGTTAGCGCCCCTGGGATGCTGGGGAAGACCCTGGGGATGCGGCCTGTGCCCTGTGGGTGTGCCCTCCCTCAGGGTGGGGCAGGACAGTCGCCCCAGCCTCAGGCTGGAGCTCTTTGCCCACTGGAGAGCTGCTTAACTCTCCACCTTTCCTGCAACTTCCTTCCCTCCACCGTCCTCCCAACCCTGTCCAGGTGCCTGCAGTTAAAGGGTCTTCTGTTCACTAGTGCCTTCCACCAGTCACTCACCTGAGACAGCAGGCCTTTCTCTGGACCCAGTGAGCTCCCCTCCAGCCCTCCCTCCCAGGGACCTCACCAAGCCCCTGAGAACCTGCTTGCTCTGAGTACTCACCTAACATTCTCTTCTGCCCTTGCCAGTCAGTCACTTCCCCTCTCCTTCCTTCCCTTTCTCTGTGACCTTGCTGGCAGCTGCCCTTCCTGGCCACCCTTTCTATTGAGGAGGTTACTCAGAAGCCACTGTCACTTTCTCATTAACTCCACCGACTACATCTGCCTCTGATTGTGACCCAGTTGTTCACAGGTCGGTGAACACCTTTGAAAAGGAACACTCCACCAGTAGGGAGTGACAGGGCCCCTCTGCTTGGTCCTCAGAGGGAGCAGGGCTGACATTAAAACTAATGGCACATGTTTAGGAGTTGGTCTCAAGAGGGTCAGGTGCTACCTGCAGGTTGCAGGACGCTGTGGGCACCTCACAGGGCCTCACCCAGCCTGTGCTGCCATTTTGTGCTGGGGCTGCTCTGCAAGGAGGAGCGGCAACTGGACCAAGGTGGCAACATGGACAGGCCGGCGCAGCAGTGTGAGGAGCTGGAGAGAGGAGCTCAGCAGGCCAGGAGCAGAGAGGAGGCTGCCGAGCTGCCTGGAGCAGCAACTGGCCCTGTGGACTCTGGGACCACCTCTTGACGCTGTCTTTCCAGGCTTGGCACATGGCCAGCTTCAGTTTCACTGTGTGTCGAGCTCAACACATAGTTCTGGAATGGTCCAAGCTGAGGGACAAGTGGACTCTGAGCACAGGCCCACCTGCATGAATGTTGTGCTGCGTGCTCCTGGGCCCTCCTCTGGCAGCCACATGGGCTCACACCTGTGCATTACATTTCTGCAAGAGGCTGCAAAGCAGCCTTTGAAGATGGGGTGGGTTTTCAGGCACATCCTAGGGATTTCTGGGTCGGGGTCTACAAGCCCTGGGGAGAGATGGAGATCAGCTGGCATTTGCCCAGCATCTTCTTTCACTGGGGTGGCCAACACCCTGGAGAGCTCAGCTTAGTCAGCCTGTCTCACTGACCAGTCAGTCTTTGGAGCCCTAGAGGAGGTACAGGTAACTCCCAGAATAGGTGTCCTGGCTCTGCACTGACAGCTCTGCTCCCCAGACCTGCTGCTTCCAGAAAAGCTGGTCCCAGGGGCCTTCCTGCAGCTTCTGACCCTTCTCCCCTTCAGAGAGGTTTTAGGGAGCTGTGCTTTTAGCTTCCAGAGGCTGAGACAGAGACAAGAGGCCTGGCCTGCTGAACCCCAAGAGGGAACAGAAAGCATGCATGCACAGCCAGGGCTGAGACTCTAGGGACTGGAGGCCTGCCCTCCTGTGTGGCTGTAACCAGTTATTTTCCAGGGACACACAGATGGTCGCTGGCACCTTGACTTTTTGCTTAAAAATGTGTGTAAAGGAAAAAGGTTCCAGGAAGGAGGGCAGCATTCACAGGCCAGGCAAGTTGGGGACAATGAGGGAGGTCAGATCTGGGGTTCGGGACTCTGGACTCTGAGGGTCTTGGGCAAGCTCTGGGCCTCTCTGTGGCCTCCTCAGGGGGCTGTTGGACTGGTGGTAGAGGGCCTGCGCACCCTGGAGTTGCAATCCCATAGGCATCAATGATTAACTGGCTCTGCTCTGCTGACACTGCCCTGGCCTCCGGAGGGGGCAGTGAGTGAGAGTGGTGTCTCTGCCACCGTAAAGCTGTTTGAATTGTCACTGTTGTAACAGTTTCTGTGCCTTCTTGTAAACAGTGGCCTACAGGGCCGAATGATCCACATGACCAACCAAGCCCTGCCAAAGTTCGGGGAGGGCAGAGGTGACAGCAGCAGGACTCAGTCCTTTGTCTGTCCCTTTCAGAGTTCAGTGAAGGTGACTCAAGTAGAGAGGCGTTGTGAACCAGACGACCCCAAGCCTGGGCCCAGGCCTTTCTCAGCAGTCACACAGTTCTCTGAAGGCCTCTTGTGTCAGGCTGTGCACTTCCTGCCCCTGGAATTTGGGTCCTCACAGGCAGAGCTGGGAAGCCGAGCTTTAGGGCAAGGTGGTTCAAGGTTGTGTCCCTGCTCATGCAGCCTGCCCAATGGCTACCAGGTGCCAAGCCTCGTCAGTTGGAGTGATGCCCATGGCTTCTTGGGTGCTGCAGAGCAGCATCCATTGCCTTGCCTGGACCTCCTTCCTGATGGTGGTTCCATATTTTGGTATGGGTGGTCCCATGTGCAAGTTCCTACTCCTAGCAAGCAAGTTTCGAGGAAGCCCAGAGTTCCCGGAAAGGGGTGCTCAGGGCCCGGCACTTTTGGGGGACCCTCAGTCAGAAAATAATACAACTTATGAAATCAGGTCAGTTGTGAGAGCTGAAATTTATTTAGACTAATAAAAGAAACCAGAACAAATTACAAGTTAAAAAGAATATCATGAAATCCAGAAAAAGATTTTTGCAGGTAACTCCCTGGCCCTCCTTCCTGGCTATTTTGTTTTTTTTTTTTTTTGTTTTTTTTTTTTTTTCATTTTTCTTTTATTATTCATATGTGCATACAAGGCTTGGTTTATTTCTCCCCCTGCCCCCACCCTTACCACCCACTCCACCCCTCCCGCTCCCCCCTCAATACCCAGCAGAAACTATTTTGCCCTTATTCTAATTTTGTTGTAGAGAGAGTATAAGCAATAATAGGAAGGAACAAGGGTTTTGCTGGTTGAGATAAGGATAGCTATACAGGGCATTGACTCACATTGATTTCCTGTGCGTGGGTGTTACCTTCTAGGTTAATTCTTTTTGATCTAACCTTTTCTCTAGTTCCTGGTCTCCCTTTTCCTATTGGCCTCAGTTGCTTTAAGGTATCTGCTTTAGTTTCTCTGCGTTAAGGGCAACAAATGCTAGCTAGTTTTTTAGGTGTCTTACCTATCCTCACCCCTCCCTTGTGTGCTCTCGCTTTTATCATGTGCTCATTGTCCAATCCCCTTGTTGTGTTTGCCCTTGATCTAATGTCCACATATGAGGGAGAACATACGATTTTTGGTCTTTTGGGCCAGGCTAACCTCACTCAGAATGATGTTCTCCAATTCCATCCATTTACCAGCGAATGATAACATTTCGTTCTTCTTCATGGCTGCATAAAATTCCATTGTGTATAGATACCACATTTTCTTAATCCATTCGTCAGTGCTGGGGCATCTTGGCTGTTTCCATAACTTGGCTATTGTGAATAGTGCCGCAATAAACATGGATGTGCAGGTGCCTCTGGAGTAACAGTCTTTTGGGTATATCCCCAAGAGTGGCTTCCTGGCTATTTTGTTCCACACTTTTAATCTTATGGTCTTCTAGACTCTTGTTGCATGACAACGTTTGCAGAGTCTTGCTGAGACAAAAGTGTATGAGGAGAGTTTGGTCTTCTCTGGCTGGTTTTGCCTGTGCTACTCACACACAAGTGGGGCCCTCAGGGTCTATGTCCCACTGGTGGCTCTTCCTGCCATGCTGCAGTATGCCATTATCCCTGAGAGGAGTTGCCCAACGTCAGTGGCAATCATCTAGCTGTGGAACAGAGGCACCTTGCCTGATGTGAGCATGTCTCATAAGCCTAAACCAAATATATCCCATTCTATCTTCCCATAAGTGAACCTCCAAATCTCCACATACACCCCAGCATACCTGCTATGGGGGTAGCTGGAGTGGAAAGTGGACATTTTGGTTTCCTGTGGCTGCCAAAACAAACTAGTACATGACGAGGGACTGAAAGCCGCAGGAGTCCATGCTCTCCCTCCACTCTGGAGGCAGACATCTTCCTTAGTGTCATGACACTGAAGTAAGGCATCAGCAGAGGGAGGAACCCTCTAGCCTCTTCCACTTTCTGGTGGCTGTCAGTGTCCTTGGCTTGTGGCCTTATCCCTCCCATATGCAAGACAGCATCTCTGTATCTCCAGTCCCTCTCAGTTCCTGGTCACTCGGCCTTCTCTTGTGTGTGTGTGTGTGTGTGTGTGTGTGTGTGTGTGTGTGTGTTTGTGCGCCCTGGGTCTCCTTCTGCCTCCCTCTTATGAGGACAGGGATGATGTGTTTTGGGGCCCACCTGGAAATTCCAGGATCATCTTTTTTTTTTTTTTTTTGTGGGACTGGGGTTTGAACTCAGGGCTTTGCATTTGCAAGGCTGGTGCCCTACTGCTTCAGCCATACCTCCAGTCCATTTTTCTCAGGTTATTTTGGAGATGGTGTCTCAAGAACTTTTCCCAAGCTAGCCTCCCAATCTCTGCCTCCCAGCAAAGTAGCAAGATTACAGGTGTGAGCCACTGGTGCCAGGCTTCAGGGTCATCCTTGATATCTATCCATCCCAACACCCTTTATTACATCTGCAAAGACTTTGCCACAAAAGATAACAGGTCTTGGAATTAGGGTGTGGACATTTTTAGTGTCCAGCTTCAGCCCTCCACATTGGGGACAGGCACACTTGGCCCTCCATCTCCATCCTG